CCAGGAAGTGATGCGGGGGGGGGGGAGAGGGTGAGAGGCTGTCTGCCTGAGACCCTGAAGCGAGCCACAGCCACCCACAGTAGATATAGCCAGGCTAGATGAGCAGGCAGGGTTGGGTCCAACCTTAGTCATAGGGTGCATCTACGCACAGGAAAAAATGTTATAAATAAGTAGAAATTAAATCGTTATAACAAAAGAAAAAGAAACGCTATGTTAACATCCGCAGGTTTTTTTCCTGCTCTCCAGCGCCACCTGATGTTGCATGTCTATAACACATTTTTTGACTAATGTAGCTGAGTCCATACTCACAAGTTGAAATTAATGAATGTGACTTCCATACATTAGGGGTGCCATATTTCAAACAGTGAAAATCCGGACAGAAAAGTTCGAGCTTTTTTTGGCACTACTGTACATGGGCTGCCATACATCCGGATTTCTGCCCAAACATGGATTTCCGCTCAGAAACTGCTAGAGACAGCAGAATTCAGGATATGTCTGGAAAATCCATTAATTTAAACACAGTCTTGACCTTTGGTATAACACAACTTCCTCACCCCTTTTGCCCGCTTTCAAGGCCAGGAGTGAGCGAAGGCTCTCAGGTGCCCTGGTTTCCTGAAATGGTTGCGATTTTGGGGGATCCAGCTGCCATTTCTTTCATTATAGGGCAGCAGTTTGTTCACTTGAACATTAAGTTTTGAACAGGATTGGTTCATTAGTGGCTCTCTGTTTATTAAACAGCCATGTTAGTGCTATTTCTCTCCTTATATTCTCTTCCAAAACTGCCCATCAACGCTCAGAACAACCAACACTATTGTATCTTCATGGGAGCAGTGCCCACGTTTTGTGCTATTTTTGTAGAAAGCTGTGGGTAAAACCTCAGTGCCTAGGGCTTGCTGATCGCATGGTCGGCGGTTCGAATCCCCGCGGCAGGGTGAGCTCCCGTCTTTCGGTCCCAGCTCCTGCCCACCTAGCAGTTCGAAAGCACCCCTAAGTGCAAGTAGATAAATAGGTACCGCTTTATAGCGGGAAGTAAACGACGTTTCCGTGTGCTGCGCTGGTGCTGGCTCACCAGAGCAGCTTTGTCACGCTGGCCACGTGACCTGGAAGTGTCTCCGGACAGCGCTGGCCCCCGGCCTCTTAAGTGAGATGGGCGCACAACCCTAGAGTTGGACACAACTGGCCCGTACGGGCAGGGGTACCTTTACCTTTTTAACAACCTGCTGGCCTTAAAGAATGCTCAATACAGTGGTACCTCAGGTTACATACGCTTCAGGTTCAGATTACAGACTCCACTAACCCAGAAATAGTGCTTCAGGTTAAAAACTTTGCTTCAGGATGAGAACAGAAATCGTGCTCCGGCAGTGCGTTGGCAGCAGGAGGCCCCATTAGCTAAAGTGGTGCTTCAGGTTAAGAACAGTTTCAGGTTAAGAACGGACCTCCGGAATGAATTACCGTATTTTTTGCACCACAACACTCACTTTTTTCCTCCTAGAAAGTAAGGGGAAATGTCTGTGCGTGTTATGGAGCGAATGCCTACGGATGGCGGGGGGATCTGCTGCAGTAGTGAGCAGAGGATCCATGGTTCCCCTTCCTTCCCTCCTCCGTGGCTCGCTTTGAAACAGCAAAGCGGGAGAAGAGCCGCTGAGTGGGGAGGAGAGAGGGACAGAGAGCCTGCTTGCTTTAAAGGAGCAAAGCGGGAGAGGAGAGGAGCCGCTTACACGAGTGTAAGTGGCTCCTGTCCGGTTGGCTCCTTTAAAGCAAGCAGGCTCTCTGTCCCTCTCTCCTCCCCACTCAGCTGGCTAAATAGCAGCAAAGTTTTTCAGCGAGCCGGGGAAGAGGGAGAGAAGAAGAGCCTGCTTGCTTCTCTTATACCCCTCTTCTGCATTATTAACAGCATCCTTCTCCACCCACCCCACGCTTGTTCCTTGTCCCTTGCGTGCTTTTCCTTGCCTCCCCACTTAAAACGTGGTTACAAAGCATGGATCCTCAGGATTTTTGCACTGGGTCACCCCAAATTCACCATCAGATCACATAGCATGTCCATGGCTACAGCTTGCACCCAAAAAATCACGCACCCACTGTTGCCTGGGGCCGTAGTGGTACAAAAACGTGGTTACAAAGCATGGATCCACAGGGATCCTCAGGATTTTTGCATTGGGCTACCCCAAACTCACCGTCAGATCACATGTCTGTGGCCACAGCATGAACCACAAAAATTATACATCCACTGTTTCGTTTAGAATATTTTTTTTCTTGTTTTCCTCCTCTAAAAACTATGTGCGTGTTATGGTCGGGTGCGTGTTATAGAGTGAAAAATACGGTACGTACTTAACCCGAGGTACCACTGTACCAGCTTCTTGAGCCACTAGGAGTCACGGTGTGGTGTTTCTTTTGCATAATTGTGGGTGGGATGATAAGTGTTTTGTTGTGTTCTGAGGTGTGGTGGAGCATTAACACTGCATGAGAGCACTGAGCAGTTTGGAAGCAAAGGAGGGGGAAAACATAACAGAGATAGCAGCCAAGGCTGTATGTTAACGGGGTTAATGAGGTCAACATTGTCAGACATGGAGAGGGATCCAGCAGAGGAAGGTTTGGGAGGAAAGGTAAGTAGCTCAGTCTTTTTTATTTACGTATTTATCAACAGCATAACAATGTCGGCTGGTGAATATTCCATTGCAAAAAAAAGAGAGAAAGGAGAAATGACTAAAAGGAAGACACCTAACTCAGGTGACGATATATCTTGTTGCAACTCATAACTGTTGTCTTCGCATCCGAAAAAGAAAATAGTTTTCATACAATACAGAGACCCAAAATGTTTCTACCAGAGGGGTCACAGAACCCACACAGTTTAGAGCCCCGTCCCATAAAAATTGTAGTGCCAGCAAACACCATATTGAGGCTGTTTTCCTGTATCCCTGGTGTGAAGACGGTTGCCCTGCCATGGCTTATTCTCCTGGTTCTGTACTCGTATCATGTCCCCAGGCCATCTTTATCTGAAGCTGGTCAGTAGAATAACAAATTTGCAAGACTAGGCCCTTAGAAGAGCTCTGAGATAAGAACACCAGCCCCTCAAGCTGAGCTTATTACATTTATAGCCAGTTTTTCTCCAAGGAGCTCAAAATGGTGTACATGGTTCTCTCCCCCCCCCCCCCATTTCATTTAAGCTCCACAACAACTCTGGGAGGTAGGTGAGGCTGAGGGGCAGTGACTTGGCCTGGTCTCCCAGGCCTTAGTCTGACACACTAACACCACACTGGCTCAGTTAAAGATCTGTTTGATTGCTCTGTGATAATGATAATAATTTTATTATTTATACCCTGCTCATCTCGCCAGTCCACTGTCCCTCAGACCTTGTGGGGGGCCAGACTATATTTTTTTGGGGGAAATGAACGAATTCCTGTGCCCCACAAATAACCCAGAGATGAATTTTAAATAAAAGCACGTATTCTACTCATGTAAAAACACAAGGCAGGCCCCACAAATAACCCAGAGATGCATTTTAAAGAAAAGGACACATTCTACTCATGTAAAAACACGCTGATTCCTGGTCTGTCCGCGGGCCAGATTTAGAAGGTGATTGGGCAGGATCCGGCCCCTGGGCCTTAGTTTGCCTATCCATGCCCTAGCCACTCTGGGTGTCTTCCAGCACATATTAAAACAGAGTAAGAATAAGCTCCTTCATAAGGATGACCTGGTATAATGGCAGCCAGGGTGTTTGTGGCACTTTCAGAAGTATTATAATGGAATTGCCCTCCAGGGAGGTTCCATTCTTAGAGAAGTCCCTCAGTCTATGCAATCCCTGCTTCTTCCAAATGAGCCTGAGTCCATCTTTGTTGAAAAAAGAGGGGTGGTTGTTCAGTTCTGTGGGAATCTCCCCAGCTGGCTTGGCAGCAGAGCTCACTCAGCAAGATGTCTACCACTATTGTGCACCAGAACCAGTGTTAGAAACTCAAATATATAAGCTAGGTGCCAAATGGCTCCTTAAATCAGGGTTAGAGTTGCCAAAACAGAATGTCTAGTTGCCATTTTTGGGCAAGACAGCTCTAAAGTCTTATTTTTCAAAGGATGCACTGACTGTGACTGATTATCAGTTAAGCATCTGTCTGGTTCAGATGACAACCTTGAGCTAGGTTAAGAGCTTTGAGACCTTAAGGAAGAAAAGTCACTTGATCCAGGGACAGTCCACATATATATTGGCCTATTCCAACCTCTTTTTCTCAATGGTGACAGGGGCCATTCATAACGTAGAAATATTCTTCACAACTGTGACCAGGGCACTGCAACAGGGTAAGTGAGACAAGTTAAAACAGTTAGCTATAAAGTTGTTCACTGCTCCTGCTCAGGCTGCACGGGGAAAGTATTTTGGTTCCTGGAATTAATACGGAATGAGCAGATAAAAATAACTGATAGAATTCTACAGGATGGGGTAATAGTGTGTGAAAACAGTCAAGATCCAATGATCCCCAGGCATGCACCTTCAGGTGGTGATGTCAGGTGCCATCCTGGCGCCCAGGTATCTCCACTCGGTTGCAAGTGGCCAATAGGTAAAGGTACCCCTGACCGTTAGGTCCAGTCGCGGACGACTCTGGGGTTGCGCGCTCATCTCGCTCTATAGGCCGAGGGAGCCGGCGTTTGTCCGCAGACAGCTTCCAGGTCATGTGGCCAGCATGACTAAGCCGCTTCTGGCGATCCAGAGCACCACACAGAAACGCCGTTTACCTTCCCCACTGGAGTGGTACCTATTTATCTACTTGCACTTGACATGCTTTCGAACTGCTTAGGTGGGCAGGAGCTGGGACTGAGCAATGGGAGCTCACCCCGTCGTGGGGATTCGAACTGCTGACCTTCCAATCGGCAAGCCCTAGGCTCTGTGGTTTAGACCACAGCGCCACCCGCGTCCCTGCACGTGGCCAAAAGTCAGGTGCAAAATGCGCCTGGCACTTGGCTGATTTCGAACAACCACCCCACACCCCACACAGCTCAGTCATATGAGCGTAAACATCAGTCAACATAAATCATTATAATCTGTGTTCACTTGCATTGGGAAAGGTATCTGGAGAGCCTGAATTGCTGGAGAAGACTGTTAGGTGGTCTTCGGCCTTTCAAGAACTCTTTCAGGCACTCTCTCTCAGGAATGCATATGCGTCATGGTCCAGATTCACTCCATCCTGGTCAAGAATAAGGTATAAATTGGCTGCAGTGGCCTTCCCTCCCTCACGGTTCCTCCAGTCCCAAAGCATGTAGAAAGCTTGCATGACCATGTTCTTGTGATTCTCCTCTTCGATCTGCTCCAGGCGTGAATTTTCCACCCCCAGGAACTCGATGGCAATCGTCTTCCATTTCCTGCCCAACTTCCTGGCTAGCTTCATCAGCTGCTGCTGCGAAACCTGACTGGGTTGCACTGCAAAATAGCGGGAAGGAAGGAAGATTATGAGAGGCAGAAGAGCAGAGCTAACATGGTGCTTTATGTTCGCTTCATTGGCAAGATGGGACTCCTCGCAAGCTTGCTAAAAATGATTTGCCTGAGGATGAAATCCAGGCAACCAAACAGGAAAGCTTCCCAACTGAGATTTTTGCTGTGGCTTTTAACAATGCCTTCTTTTTATTCTTTGCTTTATTGTGTATTCCTCTGGGTATTTAGATGTTTATAACAAAACAAGTAACAATCAGGATACAAGGCAGTGGCTAGGCGAGGAAAACGCTTTACGAGCCTTTAAGATAAGGATAAGGTACCGTATTTTTCGCTCTACAAGACACAGTTTTCCCCTCCTAAAAAGTAAGGGGAAATGTGTGTGCATCTAATGAAGCGAATGCAGGCTGTGCAGCTATCCCAGAAGCCAGAACAGTGAGAGGGATCGCTGCGCAGCGCTCCCTCTCGCTGTTCTAGCTTCTGGCTTAGCCGCGCTCTGTCCCTTCCCCCACCTCGTGCAAAAGCCAGCAAGAGCCACGCTCCCTTTAAAGAGCTGTGCGGAGTGTGTGTGCGGCTCTTGGGGGCTTTTCCCCGAGGAGGGAGAAGGGCAATGGGCTGCCCTTCTCCCTCCTCGGGGAAAAGCCTCCAAGCGCCGCACACACGCTCCACGCACAAAGGCTCTGCTCAGCGCTCCCTTTAAAGAACCCCCCCCTTGCATTCCCCCTCTAAAAACTAGGTGCATCTTATGGTCAGGTGCATCTTATGGAGCAAAAAATACGGTATCTGCTGCCCTTCAGATTATTGTTAGGCTGCAACTCCCAACACCCTGACCATTGTGCCATGCTGCCTGGTGCTGATGGGAAATTAAGTCCAGCACTATCTGAGAGGGCCAGAGACTCCGCCTCCTGCTTTAAAAGCTGCACCACGAGCCGAAATCAACCTGTGAAGTTCTTCCCATGTCAGAAAAGTTATCCCATGTGAATTCCTGCTTGTTGTGCAGATGTTAAAGGTGCAGAATCCCTGCCAGATAATATGAGCTGGAATTTCTAGTGAGGGTTCAGACCTGTTGTGGAAGCTCACCCACTCATCCTGGTCTGGGGCTGAGTCCTAGATTTAAGTTGGATGCTAGAATTTTTTTTTTATCTGTGTAGGTGCTGGAACAAGGGTGCGCCCAGGGCATTTGAGGAACGTTCCAGGAAGAGATGAGGGGGTTACAGGCAAAGCACACACCTCAAAACCTCCAGATGGACTATCCTTTCCCTCCCCACCCTTCCACTTCCTGCCCAGCTGGAAACCAAGATCCCAGTAGAGAGGGAATGGGCTCATCTGCACAGGGGTTTAATGTGGCTATGATGCTACTTGGGTCTCTATTTTATTTACATCTACAAAACGTCCTCTTTATCTAAGCAGCAACCTGCAATTCCTGCCAGATCCAGGAATAATTTGATAAGGGAAGAAAATCCAGTGCAAAAATTGCATGTTACCTGGCTAGGTCCACACTGGAGCACAGTGTCTGCCTCTGTATGTACAGTGGTGCCTTGCAAGACGAAAAGAATCCGTTCTGTGATTCTCTTCGTCTAGCGGTTTTTTCGTCTTGCGAAGCAAGCCCATTGACGGATTAGCGGCTTAGCGGCTTTCAGCAGCTTATCGGATCAGCTGATAAGCGGCTTAGAAAAAGGGGGGGGGGAGGGGAAAAAACCCGCAGGAACTCGCAAGACATCTTCGTCTTGCGAAGCAAGCCCATAGGAAATTTGTTTTGCGAAGCACCTCCAAAACGGAAAACTCTTTCGTCTAGCGAGTTTTCCGTCTTGCGAGGCATTCGTCTTGCGGGGCACCACTGTATGTGTGTGAGTAGTTTTGCTTGCTGTGAAGCATACTCTGAACGTTTCCTGGAAGTTCCTTGTGCGATTCCAGATGTTGCTGGACTTCAACTCCCATCTGCCCCACCCAGCCAATGATCAGGCATGAAGAGAGTTACAGTCCCACAAACATCGGGGGGCGGGGCGGGGAGGCCGTCAGGTTCTCTTCCCCTGCCCTAGACAAAATGGGGTCCTGGACCATAGGAGCCAACTGCCCCCAATAAAGCATTTGAGGGGGCCGGGCCCTCCCAAAGTTGAAGCACATTCAAAATAGTTTGCACCATGTCATATGATCGATTATGTGGGGTGCGGTGGGGCGGGGCGGGCCTAACCCGCCCTCCCCAATATTTTATTCAAGTTGGCGCCCCTGTCCTAGACAGCAAAACCTCTACCCCCTCCCTGCTCCGAGCTCTCCCTGTGGGTTCGGGCTGTGCCCACCTGTACAGTACTCACCTGGAGCTGCTTCCACGAGGTCTATCGGGGCTTCCATGGCAGGGGTCCCCCTTCCGCTCTGGCGATCGCCCCCTGCTACGTCGCGTAGGAGATTCCGCAGAAGATCCCTCCTGGGTATCTTTCCCAGCGCGTGGGCGGCGACTTCTAATTCTTTCCCGGGAAAATAGCGCGCAAGCAGCTCGGCTAGCTCGACCGGCGAGACTTTCTCCAGCTTCCGTCGAGGGATTCGGACAGATCGGTCCGGGATGGATTCCAGGTAGAAGACGAATTTGCGGAACTCTTCGTCCGTCAGATCGTCGAGGATCTGCAGCAACTGCTCTCTCGCAGCCGCCATGGAAAGAGCGGGTGCCCAGTCCAGATAAAACACACACACAGAGAGAGAGACACACACTTATCCAAGACAAAGGACCACGCGGGAAATCCCCTCCCTAGTGACGTGAGCAGCAGAGGGCGCGCGGAAAGGCGAGCTGCAACAGCGCTGCTGCGCGGCCGCTTTCGATTTGGTGGAACGGGAGATGCAGACTCGAGTCCAGGAAGTTGGGGCGGGGCGGTGCCAAGGCTGCGGGGGTGGGAGATGTGCTTGTTTTTTCTTTTTCAGGGGAGCGGACTACGGTGGATTTTTTTCAGGGACGGGCAGAAAGTAGATGGGGATGATCTCCGGGTGGTTTGTAGTTGTAGATGATCAACAAGGACTTTTTCCCCCAGCTCTTCATCGGTGTCTCGAGCAGCAACAAGTAAAGCTCCCTCCCCCCCCCTCCTTAGATTGGGCTGCTGAAATCAAGAAAGCCGTTTGTGTCGTAAGGATCTGCACGCGAGCTCCAGTTCTGGAGCTGAAAAGAATTGCGGGGGAGTGCTTCAATTTGCGCCCTTTGCGCTCAAAACGTACCAGGTTTAATGCCCGGCGCATCTCCCGCTAGGGCGAGGAGTGACCTCAGACTGGACTCGCAAGGGGTGCCAACTTGAATAAAATATTGGGGGTGGAGGGCAGGTCAGCCCCAGCCCACATAATCACAAAACCAGTGGCGTAGCGTGGGTTGTCAGCACCCGGGGCAAGGCAAGTAATTTGCGCCCCCTAACCCGTGGATTTTGCGCCCCCTAACCCGTGGAGGGCGGCCCCCCAGATGTTGCGCCCGGTGTGGCCGGCCCAGCCTGCACCCCCCACGCTACGCCACTGTAGCACAGAACACCATCCCTAATCCTGCAACTGCAAAAACTTCTGCAACACAGCACAATAGACCGTGCAAAAGGATCGTTGTTGATGCTTTTATTAAAAAAATGTAAACAACAGCCATCTTTATTTACACTATGAGCTAACTGTCTGAGATGGGTAAAACCAATCCCAAAGGGCCCTTACAAACAGTAGATTATGCTACATTTTCCTTGTTTAAATCCACAATGTTTTGGTTTTTTTAAATGCACTCTACCTCCCCACCCTTATACCCTTTCCACCCAAGACGTACACCTGATGCCTTTGTCACACATTACATGCACCCAACCCCTTCCCTGCAGTCAGCTAGATTTCCCTCGCAATAAACGTGGGTGGGTAGGTACCGGAGAAGGGAAACCTGAAAAGAGGAAGTGGCTGCTTTCCTGCATTCTGCCTCAGAGTCTTACTGCCCACCCACCTCTGTTTCCTTGCTGTGTTTGCTCAAACGGAACAAAGAGCAGGGAAAGCCCCTCCCCTCAAGGCAGAGAGAGAGAGAGAGGCGCCCTCCACGAGTTGTCGAGCTTGGGCAACGGCTGCGTGGCCGACGGCGAGGCGCTAAGGCGCCGGCTCCCTAGGCTGCAGCGCTTGGCCAGGTGCTGCGCTTGCATGCCTGGCCGCGCCCAGCTCGCCTCAGCGCAGCGCGCGGAAAACAGAAGCAGTGGCGGAGACGACGACCCCCACCCCAACCAAGCCTCGATTGCTTGTCCCTTCCCTCTGGACTCGCGCCCCCCCCAGGTGTTGCGCCCGGTGCGGCTGGCACCCCTGGCACCCCCCACGCTACGCCACTGCACAAAACACACACATACCACTTGAATGACAATTCAAGTAACGTTACATCAGATCCAAAGTGTGTTCAGCAGCAGCCCTCTCTAAGCCTGGCGGAGGGAAAGGTAAAGGTAAAGGGACCCCTGACCATTAGGTCCAGTCGTGGCCGACTCTGGGGTTGTGGCGCTCATCTCGCTTTATTGGTCGAGGGAGCCGGCGTACAGCTTCCGGGTCATGTGGCCAGCATGACTAAACCACTTCTGGTGAACAAGAGCAGCGCACGGAAACGCCGTTTACCTTCCCGCTGGAGCGGTACCTATTATCTACTTGCACTTTGACGTGCTTTCGAACTGCTAGGTGGGCAGGAGCAGGGACCGAGCAACGGGAGCTCACCCTGTTGCAGGGATTTGAACCGCCGACCTTCTGATCGGCAAGTCCTAGGCTCTGTGGTTTAACCCACAGCGCCACCCATGTCCCTTGCCAAGGGAAAAACAGTCTTTAAAATAGTGTTCTCCACTGGATTGCCAGGTAAGGTAGCTGAGCTGAACAGGAAGGACCCCTTTTTGAACTTACACCAGCCTCGGATCAGCCAGTTTCAGCTCAGCCAACTGAACCCCAAGCAGCTGTGGCAGCCCATTCCAGGCCACATTTCCCAGAAAACAGCTGATAGCCGGAGCACGGGTTCTTTTAAAAAATGACTACACAATCATGTAATTTTAGCAGGATGTCTGGAAATGCTGTATATCTTTAGCTGCAAAGGCATAACCTTTTTGGTTATATATTTTGCTGTATATCTTTAGCTGCAAAAGCATAACCGAAACAAAAAACAAAAGGTAGTAATTCACATAGTATATGAATGATGCAGAACTCCACATTTCTGAGAGCAGAATCTGAATTACTTGTGTGCACAGAATTTTATTTTTTAAAGTAGAAAACAGCCATGAATAAACTGAGTAGGCAAACTTTGAAGTATTACGTAGATGCTGGAATCAAGCAACAACAGTAGAGAGGTAAATCACCTTCTTGCTATGCTGGGGAAAGGATTAGTCAGTCAATGCTGGGACTTGAATTTGAGTCAGCACCAAGTATGGACAACCTAACCCTCCTCTGAAGATGTTGGGCTCCGACTCCTCTAATGGTCAGAGTGTGAGTCCAGGAAGATCTGTTTGGAGCAAAGGGATGGGGAAGGTGGCTTCTCAAAGGTAGTTGGCATTGACCTAGGAGCGGCAGGACCAAGAACGTGGAGTCACTATCCCCCAGAAAGTCCTCTGAAAGGCAGAAAACAACAACAAAGCATCACTAAGGGCCAGAATCAGAAAAGGAAAGGACTTCGACAAGACAAAAAGGAATACACGAAGTCATGCCTTTCACTGGTGGTTAGATCTAGGGCAATATGGTGGCAATTTATGCTAGTGCACGGAGTCACACTTTATAAGCCCATTTCATTCTATTATGAGCATTATGGCATAATATAATGAAATGGGCTCTAGCCCAGGAACACTTACATCATAATAAATTTGGCAGGGAGTTTCCAGGCAGGGTTTTAGTACTGAAGCAGGTCATTGAGCTATCTCAAGGTTTGGCCACCTGTGAAATAGCCTATACAGTGGTACCTCAGGTTAAGTACTTAATTTGTTCCAGAGATCCGTTCTTAACCTGAAACTGTTCTTAACCTGAAGCACCACTTTAGCTAATGGGGCCTCCTGCTGCCACCGCACCACCGCCAGAACACGATTTCTGTTCTCATCCTGAAGCAAAGTTCTTAACCTAAAGCACTATTTCTGGGTTAGCGGAGTCTGTAACCTGAAGCGTATGTAACCTGAGGTACCACTGTATTGTCTACTTTGATTCAAAGGGTTTCCCCAGGGTCTCGGTAGAGAAGGTTTAATTGGAACAGAACGGGGGGGGGGGGAGTTACAGTATTTCTCCTGGGAAGAGTACAGTGGTACCTTGGGTTAGAGACGCTTCAGGTTACATACGCTTCAGGTTACAGACTCCGCTAACCCAGTACCTCGGGTTAAGAACGTTGCTTCAGGATGAGAACAGAAATCGTGCTCCGGCAGCACAGCGGCAGTGGGAGGCCCCATTAGCTAAAGTGGTGCTTCAGGTTAAGAACAGTTTCAGGTTAAGAACGGACCTCCGGAACGAATTAAGTACTTAACCCAAGGTACCACTGTAAATCCAAATTGACTGGGTGTGAATGCAGGCCAGCATTTTTATGGCAACAACATTGTGTGGACACCGCAAAAACAGATGCACCTATCCCACAAGAAACGCCTGCCTGCAAGCACACTTATTATTCAAGATGCTACAAGATTCTATGTGGATTTTGCCATTTACTGATGTGCTTGGAAACCATGTTATTGATAATATGGCAGGACTGCACAGGATTGTGGAGCCTTTATGTGTGCCAATTAGTGCTAATCAGGCTTGGGGACTTTTGATCCCTGATAGCAGGGCTGGCCCTGCTGTGAGGCAGCTGCCTCAGGCAGCAGATGGGGAGGTACGGGAAGTGGACAGAACTGGGAGTTCTTCAGGCAGCAAAATGGCCTTCTGCAAGTTGCTACATGGGAGGAACTGAGGGCTTGTTCTACACCCAAAGCCAGTCTGCATGCTCACCTCTTTGAGTGGGCAGTGGATTTGGGCATACCACTCTTGGCAGTACAGGCAGACCTGGATTCCTTGGCCCACATACAGGAATGTCCACATGATGACGTTCCAAACGGGGCTTGTTCTCTTATCATTGAGGATGAAGTTAAAGATCACTGCGAAGAAGACCAGGAGAAAAGGTTAGTTGGGCGCAGTCCAGACCACACTGGACCAAAGGTATTTCTCACCTGCCAGTTTCTGGGAACCTCTGCGACAGAGCAGCGCCCTGGTCCATAGTGACATAGGAATGTGAATCAGATTATTGGTCCATTTAGCTCCATACTACCAACACTGATTGGCAGCAGCTCTCCAGGGTTTCAGATGGGGAATTCCCTGGAGATGCTGGGAACTGAAGCTGGGACCTTTTACAGGCATAGCAGATGCTCCAAACCACTGAACTATGGCCCTTATGCCACCCTTCATTCCTAGAACTTGGAGGAATAGCAATTCTCACTTCCTGCAGAGCTGAAACTAATTTGGGAACAGAGCATATTATTCTAACTTGCAGGCATTCAGATGTGTCATTATATATCAATAACAAGCTCCGATGTTGAGCTATGGCAGCTTTGCAACCCAAATGGCTCCTGAGAAGCATGAGGAAGTATCAGCAGGCTCAGGGGAAGGCCAAAGTTTGAAGAAGCAGGAAAAATATTTTTTTTTGGGGGGGGGGAGCTTTGGGGTTATCTCCCTCTGCTAAACACCAGCCCAATGAGGATAGCACTGAGCATACTCAGTGGCTGCAAACATTGTGTGGCTTGTAGGTGGATGTGAAAAACCTGGGAAGGAAGGGGAATGGAATGGAGTGTCCTGGAAAAAGTGCATGGCATCACTGACTGCGTCTCTGAACAGGAGCACTCCAGGTTGCACTATCCTTAGTTCAATAGTGAACTTGAATGCTTGA